GCGCACGGTCGCCGGCGATGCCGGGCCAGGAGCCGAAGAAGAAGAAGAAGAATAATAATAAGAAAAAGAAGAAGAAGGAAAATATTAATAATAAGAAGAAGAAGAATAATAAGAAAAATAAATATAATAATAATAATAATAATAATAATAATAAGAATAATAATAAGAATAAAAAGAAAAAAGAAGAAGAAGAAGAAGAAGAAGCAGCTGCAGTCGGACCGAGGTCCCCTGACCCCCTCGGGTACTGAAAAATCGTTACGAGAGGTTTTCCGCTATTGTCGGCCTCGGGAGGCCCTTACCGGGTTCAGGAACCGTCCAAAAACGACTCGGGATAAAAAACCGGTCCAGGGGAATGGGTCGAGACCTTTGAGGGTCTTCGTTGTGAACAAATCATGACGTCGACGCTTTTTGACGTGCGCGTCCTGGATTTTGACGGTCAGCTTCCGTGGGGTGTCTGCAGCGGGAGCTCGCGTCAAGTTTCAGATGGGGTCTCGTCATTTTCATTATGGCCCCGACAGGCCAACCCGAGTCCCCGGAACCCGAATCTTACGTCTCCCCGACTCATGTTCTTCGTGTTGGCTGGATGTTCTTGTGTATCCTGGGGACGGTACCCTTGACTGTTCTGTTTGTTTTGGCCGACTGAGGGCCTCATGCTCTTTGGGGATGTTCTTCTGGCCTATGTATGTTTGTACATTATCATAAGCTTCCAGCCGTCCGCGCGGGAATCTCCTGCATCTGCGCTGGAGCCCCCTTCGTTGGCGCGCGGAGCGGGCCAGGTTGATGCCTTTTGGTCGAGTAGGGGATCGACGACAGAATTGATTTACTCCAAACTTGATTTTCTCGCCGAGTTCACGAAAATACGAGGAATGATCTACGAGCATTCTATGTATATTCTTCGGTACACTCGACGAGGAGATTGATTTCGGGGTGCGGGGTGAACCAATTCTGTGGTCGATCCCCTGCTCGATTTGTGGCTTCTCTATATATCAGCGTCACCCCAACATACTATTACTATGTGTGCGTCGCCCCCCCCCCCCCCCCCCCCCCCAGGGGCGACGCGCGCACCGAGAAATCTGATGGTATGTGCGCCGTGGCGGGCGCTTTCTGGCCACACCGCTCGCGAAACAATATTCAGTCGACCCGCATGGTAAGGATGGGCAACCTTCCCAAGGGTACCCTTGCATCCTTGCCTCCTCGGTCCATCCTTGGCCGCTTTCGCTGGTCGCGCACTGCTCGAAAAGCTTCAAAATGGGCGTCCAAGCCCCTTGTGTCCTTATCGCGCGTCCTTATGGTACGGGCCAACTGTACTACAAGACGTGTGTACTATATGTTTGGGTCGGACGCGCGCCTCCAAAGAGGACATATAGTACTAGTATGTTCCTGTGCGTCCCGCCAGATCTGAGCGTTACGTTTTTTCGTCAGCGGGTGTTTTCGCCCGGTTTCCGGCCTCGGGGCCCTCGCATAATTATCCATCCAGCCCGAAGAGTAACGCAGGAAGATGGGGTCCAGGGCTCTGGGCGTGGTCTTCTTTCGATGAGATCTGCTCCGAGCCGACGTATTGTGAAGGCTTAGCGGCCGGTACCGCCGACCCAGAGGGACGACGACGACGACGACGACGACGACCACGACGACGACCACGACGACAACGACCACGCGAGGGTGGGGAAAAGAGGAGGGAATCGACTGGACTGCGACGTGTGTTTTCTCTGTTCGTTTTTAGATTTCCTTGGGACGACGACGACGACGACGACGACGACGACGACGACGACGACGACGACGACGACGACGACGACGACGACGACGACGACGACGACGACGACGACGACGACGACGACGACGACGACGACGACTTCACTGCGACGTGTGTTTTCTCTGTTCGTTTTCAGCTTTCTCTGCGACGTGTGTCCCTGTGCGTCCCATCTACAGTAGGGGAACGAAGAATGACATAAACATAAAACTCTAAGGTCCGCGCGGATTTCTAGGACCGCCGCTGGACCCCCCTCCCCAGCGCGCGGAGCGCGCCAGGGGCGGCGCCGGAGGCGCCGCCAGGGGGTCCCGACTTTGTCAGGACAGCGTCCCTGGAAGTCCAGACCCTTCCCCCGGGGCTGGTTTTTCATCCCGGGTCGTTTTTTGACGGTCCCGGGGCCCGGCGAGGGCCCCCAGGGGCGGAAACTAGCGAAACATTGTGCCGTTGGCGTTGGCAGCGTTGTCTCTGCTTCGCGTTCTGCTTGCCCTCGGCCCGTGATCTCCGAGCGGCACGCGCACGCGCTGCAGGCGCGCGGCCGCTCGCGAGGAGCAAGACACAGAAACAGACACAGAACGCAGCGGCAGAACCTGCCGCCCGGATGCCGCTACGACGCGATCACGTCCCCCGAGATCCGATGTCGCGATTTTTTCAACACGGGGTTCCCGGAAGCCTCGACCCATTCCTCAGGACCAAGGTGCATGGCCAAGGTGCGAAACTCGAAGGACCAAGGTGCATGGCGCGAAGCGCCACTGCAGTCTTGTGTGTATGTGTGTATATCTGTGCCCTCTTATAACGTCGACCGTCAGAACTCTCGACGCATTCCCTGGGACCAGTTCTTCATCCCGAGTTGTTTTGTTTGACGGCCCCGAGGCCCGGCGAGGACCCCCAGGGGCCCAAATCTGCGAAAAACCTCCGTCTTGATTTTTTTTTCTTTACGTTGGAGCTCCGGGTCCGTGTCTGTGAGGAGGCCGAGGGCGGCGGCGAGCCTGCGGGGCCGCGGGCCCCCCCCGAGCCGCCCGGCGCCCGCGGCGAGCCGCTCGCCGGGGCCGCGGCCCTGCGGAGCCTGCTGTCCCTGGGCGGCGCCGCCTGCCCGGGCAGCCCCTCGGGCGCGAGGGGCGCCGGGGGCGGCCCGGCCGCGGGGGCGCCGCCGCGGTGCCCGAGCGTGGCGCCGACCATTCGAGGAAGAAGAAACGCCACACAAACAAAAAAACCTACACTTTTGGCGCTCCGCGCGGGTTTCTCTTGGATCTGCGCCGGGCGCCTCCATCCCCCCCCCCCGGCGCCGCCGGGGGTCCGGCTCAGAGCCAGGAACTCCGCGCGGAGCGCCAACAGTTTATGTCTATGGCGTTTTTCTTCTTCTACCCATAGACGTGAGCTCGGAGGAGGATCGAGCAGTGGCGAAGCGTCACGGCTTGCCCGTAGGCCCACCAAAGAGAAGGTTCCGAGAGCCTCTTGTGGTCTGCACGAAGTGCTCTCAGAGCACTTCGGACCGAGACTGTCTTGAGTCAACACATCGGGTCTACGTTCTAGGGACCTTGCTTTGTCCTTGGAACATGTCTGGGTTCCCAGACATCCGGCTGCTCCCATTTTTTCGAGGCGTGGGCCCTGGAGGTCCGGACCGCTTCCCCGCGGCCGGTTTTTCGTCCTGGGTCGTTTTTCTTGACGCCCCCGAGGCTCCGGCGAGGGCCCCAGAGGCCTAAAACGGCCAACAATCGGGGGCGGCAACGAGGGGGGTGATGGCTAGGGGGGGGGATGTCATGGCGGGGGCCATGAGATTTCCCCAAATCTCATGGCGCCTCTTCTTATTTCACTACGTCCCTGGCCCCCCCCCCGCGGGGCCGCGCACATGCCGCCGGTCATGACTTGCACCCTTCCCCTCTTGGACACCCCCCTCTTGGCCGCCCCCGATAAAACGGCAAAAAACGGCCGCTCCAATTTGTTTGGAGCGTCGGGCCTCCGGGCTCTGCGGGCCTTCCGTGGTAGGCCTGCAGGAGTGCCGGGGCGGCGTGTGCCGGAACTCGGGTTTGCCAACGCTTTCTGGTGAGTGCGTCCTGGATTTCGACGGCCTCGTTTTCGTGGGGTGTCTGCAGCGGGAGCTCGCGTCAAGTTCCAGATTGGGCCTCGTCGTTTTCAGGATGGCCCCGTCAGGCCAACCCGAGTCTTATCGGCGTCACCCCAACATACTAATACTATGCGTGCGTCGCCCCCGCAGGGGCGACGCGCGCACCGAGAAATCTTGTACCATATGCATCGTGGCGGGCGCTTTCTGGCCACACCGCACGGGAAACGATATACTACCATATGGGTATACCATCTGTTCGGGTCGGACTCGCGCTTCCAGGGAGGACATACAGTATCAGTATCAGTATTGAGTCGGGCGTGTCCCTCTACAGGAGGAATATTCAAAAATAGTCAAAAAATAGTCTGGGGACGTTTTTTCGATTATTCCTCTCGCTTCGCGGGGTGCACGTCCGGACCGCGGAGAGTGCGGGCGTTTGGGGCGCCCTTGAAGTTGTTGGACGTTTCTGGTGGGCGTCGACTTCTGGAGGATCTTTTTGGTCAATCATTGGAAGGGTTCCTGGCCGTCTTCGTGCGCTCCTAGGTCGTCGGGCCCCTTCTTGGTCTCTCCGTGGTCTCTCCGTGGTTCCTTCTGGGGTCTCTCCGTGGTCCCTTCTTGGTCTCTCCGTGGTCCCTTCGTGGTCCCGTGGTTTCTTCTTGGTCTCTCCGCGGTTTCTTCGTGGCCCCTCCGTAGTCCCTCTTTGGTCCTGCCGTGGTCTCTTCTTCGTCTCTCCGCGATTTCTTCGTGGCCCCGCTGTGGTCTCTTCTTGGCCCCGTCGTGGTCCCTTCTTGTTCCCTCCGTGGTCCCTTCCGGAAACGGCCCACTGCATTGACACTGGACCACCAGTCCAGTCCACCGGTCCACCAGTCGTTCGCCCTCCGGTCCGCCCGTCCGCGGGTCCACAGTCATCGTCACCATCCCCGTCGTGATCGCCATGATCTCCAGCACCATCAACATCAATACCACGTTATCGGCATCACCACCACCAGCATCACCATCACCATCACCACCACCATATTCATCACAAACACAATATGTTTTCATCATCATCATCACCATCATCATCATCCTCCTCATCATCATCAGCATGAGCATCATCAACATCATCATCACCACGTGCATGGGATGGGAGCACGAGGTTCATTTCATGAAGACCGCCCCAATGAGTTCCATGGCAAGCAACATCGGGGGAAGACTATCCACAACTTCAGCAAGCTCGGGATCGATCTTATCACGGGGGTCCACACTGGCGGGAAGAAGGACCCGGAGCTGTCGGAGAGCTTGTTGCACACGAAAATCCAGCACATGCGTTGGCTTATCATCGACGAGGTGGAGAACGTGTCCGTGGAGCTGCTGGACGCCGTGCACAGGCAGGTGAAGGACTCGACGAGGGACAAGGGGAACCCGTGGGCCGTGGACGCACGCGCCCTGGAACAGTTCGCCATGTTCGGCGGTCTGAACCTGGTACTTCTCGGAGATCTGTGGCAGATCCCGCCCGTGAGGACTCAGTATTGCTGCCAATCCTTTCATGAAGCGGCCCGCCAACGTCGGCCGCATACTCGAGATGTTTTGGACAGAGGGCTTGCCGCACTCGGCGATTCACCGCTACGCCCTGACCCAGTCGCACCGCTGCTCAGACCCGTGGTCGGGGAGCTTCCTCGCAGAAGCGCGCGCGGGGAGTCTGTCGGACAGAATGTGCGATTTCGTCCACGGCTTCCCCGCTGATGTGCCCGGCTCCTGGATGCTCGTAAGCCCCGGCAGCGCCGAGGCCTCGACGGGGCACCTCGGCTGCGGGAAAGCGAAGTGCCGCGCGCTCTGGTTAGCTCAGTGGCCGCGGACGTTCGGAGAGGGTCGGCCCTGGCAGGACATGCGAGCTCTTGAGGCTGCCGCGTCGCCTCTCAGAGCGATGCCAGACAGCGGGAGGTGAGCACGGCGTTCGCCGACGCGCTGTTCGTGCGCCCGTACAACGCCCCGAAGAGCAGAATTTTGACTCTGCGAGCGGCGAATGCGGCAGCAAATCCTGGGACGCAGCTCCTCTGGGTGGTGGCGCGCGACGTCCCCCTCGCTCGGGGCGACGCATGCAGGTCGAAGGAGCCCCTTGCCAACGCCAGGCAGAACTGGCTGATGTACCCGGAAAACAAGACTGGCGGAGTTCCGGGCGTGCTTCCGATCTTCGAAGGGATGCGCGCGCGCTTCACGACCACGGAGAATGCGGAGGCGGGGGCCTGCAAGCATTCCTGGGGGACAGTGAATGGCTGGGTTCTCCACCCGGACGATTCGAAGCTGGTGAAGGAGCAGAGGGCCGAGCCGGAGCTGGTCCTGCAGCACGTGCCCGATGCGATCATGGTGAGAATTTCAGGAAGCGCGGCCCCCCGCTTCGGCAATCAGCCTGCTGGCGCCTTCCCGGTGAAGCTGAAGGAAGTGTCCTGGGATCGCAGTCCCGGCTTCAAGGCCATGGTGAAGCGCACGGGTTCCCCGCTCGCCCCGCGCTTCGCCGCCGCGGCCCACTGCGTCACCGGCCCCGCTCTTCCGAAGGCCATCATCGACTTCCTGGACGCGCGGACGACGCCCCGTTCGTCCATGGCCCCCACTGGCTACGTGGCCATCAGCCGTGCCAGGGGGGCGGACGACCTGATCATCACCCAGCCTTTTTCCCCCGTGCTGTTCCGCCAGGGGCATCAGACGGGCCCGTGGCTCCTGCGCTCCCTTGCAGCCGGGGAGATGGCGACGGAACAGGCGAAAGCCGGTTGGGCCAAGGCAGAGAGGGAAGCCGCGTCCAGGTCGTCGAAGAAGTTGGTGGGCGCCACGTTCCAGTGCGCCGACTGCCGCCGGCGAAAAAAAAAGACCGGCAATTTCCCAGACAGTGGCATGAGAACGAGCGACCCCCTGGAGCACGCCGTGGCGGTGCTGAGCCGGGGGGCCTGGAGGAGGTGCGCCCTCTGCGTTCAGAAGCGGACCTCTGCTTCGGGCGCACCTGCCGCGGCTGCAGCGCCGTTCGCCGCGAAAGGCAGAGACGTGCTCGTCTGTGATCGCTGCATGGGGCCCGAACAATTGACGAATTTCCGACGCAGTGAGGTGAATGACCCGAAAGGCAGAGGCGCGCTGGACCTCGCCGTTTGCGTGGCGTGCACCCCGGAGAGGCAGCATTTCAACGTGTTGTCGGCGGCCCGCCGGTTGAAGCGTCGTAGCTGTAAGGGGGACATGCCCGCGGAGCAGTTCGATGCAGCTTTTTTTAAGATGCACAAGAGCGTCAAAGACGCCGCGTGCCTCAAGTGTCTGGACGAAAAATGGGAGCCCTTCTGCAAGGGGGGCTGGGGTGCAAGGCCTCCAGAACGCGTGGAGTACAGCGCCAGTTTCTGGTGCGAGTCGTGCAAATTTCCGCCGCGCGCGAGATGTGGCTCGGCTCCGCGGCCGAAGACGGCCAAGTACAGAGTCTGGAACATGAGAGAGTGGACCTGCGCTCAGTGCCGGGATCCGTGCAGGGATTTGAAATGCGCGCGGTGCTCGGCAGTGTTTAGGCGAGAAGCCGTGCACAGTTCCCAGCGTGACAAAGCAGACGTGCTCTGTCCCGCTTGCTGGCGGGCAGAGTAGGCGCCGCGCAGCCGATCCGGACTGGTAATCGCCGCTGTGGAGAATTATTCAAAAATGTGGAGGATGTGGGCGTTAGATGGCGTGACGTGCTCGGCCGCGCGCGTGCGTGCCGCTCCGTCCTGCCATCCCCAGGGCTTCTGGGCGGACTCCTGGGGGGCGCTTGGGAGCCTCTTGGAAACCTCTCGGGGGCCTCTTGGACAGTGTTTGGGGCCGCCTCGGGGCCCTCTCAGGGCTGCTTCTTGACGTCTTGCGCCGTCCTGGGGCGCTCTTGCGCCGTGTGGGCCCGAGGCCATCTTGGAGGCCTCTCGTGGCCGCCGTGGGGCTCTCTTGGAGGCTTCTTAGGCCGTCTTGGGGGCCCCTTGGATTGTGTTGGGGGCCTCATTTGGCCGTCTCGGGGCGCTCTTGTGCCGTCTTGGGACCACCGTGGGGGCCTATTTGGCCGTCTTGGAGTCTTCTTGGAGGCTGCGTGGGCCGTCATGGTCTTTTGAGAGCCGAAAAAAGCGAGAACGCTAAAATCTTTTGAAAAAACTATAAGAAATCAAGAATTTTTGGCCTCTGGAGGCGCTCTTTGGGGTCCTCTTGGGGCCCTCTTGGGCCGTCTTTGGGGCCTCATGGGCCCCCTTGGGACCATCTTGGGCCGTCCTGGAGCCGGCTTGGGCCGTCTTGGGCCGCCTTGGGGCCATCTTGAGGCCCTCTGAGAGTCCCAAGAAGCCCAAGAGGCCGAATTTGTTGATTTTCAATAGGTTTTTGTAAGTTTGGGGCCCCAGAGTGCGTGCCTCCAGATTGGGGTCGACGGTGTGGCGCGGCTCCAGGAGGGGGGTTAGGGGGGAGACATAATAATGTAACACAATACAATTTGTTGCAATTATGCAATCTTTGGATACATAGGATACGTTGCATCAAGGCGTTCGCCGAAAAACGCTGCCGCTCAGCACGTCACCTCCGGACGTGGATTCATTGGTTTACGCCACACCGCCGACCCCTTGGGGCGGTAGCAATCGTCCCCCGCGTGGCCTGTCCAGACAGCTTGTCCTTTAGACACGTTTTGGGGCCCTCTTAGGACCGTCCTGCCGTTCCCCCGGGCCGTTGCTATGGTTTCTGGGGCCTTCGTGGGGCGCCCGGAAGCCGTCGTGGAGCCTTTTGGAGAGTTTTTTGGGGTGCCAGAGGTCGATCTTGAAGGTTTACTGGGCCGTTGTGGGCCTCGTGGAAGCCCAAGAAGCGAATATGTTGAACATGCACGTTTTTTTCAAGAGAGTGGGAAGGTTTTTTCTTCTGGAGGCCTGCTTGGAGCGCCTCGTGGTTGCCTTTGCAAAAGTCTTGGGCGCTCATGGGGCTGTCTGGAAGCAATCTTGGGCGGTTTGGACCGAATCGTCCCTCGCGTGGGCCGTCCGGACAGCCTTTGGGAGCCCGCTTGGCCCGTTTTGGAGCCCTCTTGGGACCGTCCTGCGGCTTTCCTGGGCCGTTGCTATGGTTTCTGGAGCCTTCGTGGATCGCCCGGAAGCCGTCGTGGAGCCTTTTGGAGAGTCTCTTGGGGTGACAGGGGTCGGTTGTGGGCCTCGTGAAAGCCCAAGAAGTGAGTGTGTTGAAAATGTACGTTTTCCGAAGGGAACGGGACTGTTTCTGCTTTTGGAGGCCTTCTTGGAGCGCCTCGTGGTCGCGTTTTCAAACGTATTGGACACCCATGGGGCTGTTTGGCGGCGATCTTCTTGGGCGTTTTGGACCGAATCGTCCCCCGCGTGGCCTGTCCGGACAGCCTTTTGGGGCCCTCTTGCTTCGTTTTGGAGCCCTCTTGGGACCGTCCTGCGGCTTTCGTGGGCCGTTGCTATGGTTACTGGGACCTTCGTGGATCGCCCAGACGCCGTCTTGGAGCCTTTGTGGGAGCCTCTTGGGCTGGCGAGGGTCGATCTTGGAGGCTTCTTGGGCCGTTTTGCGCCGCGTGGAAGCCGAATGGGCGAATGTTGTGAAAATGTGCGTCTTCTCCAGGAAATGGGAGGGTTTTTGTTTTTGGAGGGCCTCTTTGGAACGCCTCGTAATATTGTTTCAAACGTCTTGGGGACTTACGGAGCCGTGTGGGGGCAATTTTCGGCGTTTTGGGGCGATCTTTCGTCGATTCGCAGCTCTCTTGGACCGTTCTGGGAACCTTTGGAACCTTTTTGGTCCGTTTGGGCCCCCCTGAGGCTCCAAGTGTGCGGATGATGGATTTGCCCCCCTTCCCCCCCCCTTCCAAACCGGCCGGACCAGGCCCCCTAGGGAGGGGTTTGGGAAGGGGAAGGATCTCACACGGTCGGCGGATTTTTGAGTGTTTTTTTGTTTGAGTTTCTGTCCACGCTCGGCCTGCAGGACATGCCCGACCTAATCTTAGTGTGCCTCCGCGCGTCCCATCTTGCGTCTCCCCGAGAGAGGAGGGGGAGTCGCCGAGGGCAGCCCGGCCAGACGGCGGCAGCGCCCCAGGCGCAGGCAGCCTGGGCGGCGCGCGCGGGGAGGGCGGCGCGCCTGCAGGGGAGACGCAGGCGGGCGCCGCCGCAGCGGCGCCGGCACCGGCTGCGGCGCCGGCGGCGGCACCGGAGGCGTCTGCCTCCGCGGTGCCGCCGCTCTCGAGGGAGGCCTTCGGGGCCCACACACATACACCACCACCACCACCTCCCTCACCCCCTCCCTCTCCCAGGAATGTGTAGGCCTCGCAGATGGGGTCCGAGTATGGATGGGGTCGGAGGATCGTGCCGCATCGCCGATGCGTCCATGATGCGGCTCGTTGTGGAGACCGTTTTCCCCCACGCCAACGTCGCCGATGCATCGCCGATGCGTCGCCGATACATTGGGAATGCATTAGCGATGCGGTGCGATCCTTGGGCCCTATCTACTCGCACCCTATCTGGGAATCCTCCGAGGAAAGAGGCGAGGAAGAAGAGGGCAGAGGAGGGACCCAGACACCCGACGTCATGACTTTTTCATAACGTCGACCGTCAAGGGTCTCGACCCATTCCCCGGGACCGGTTTCTCGTCCCAAGTCGTTTCTTGACGACCCCGAGGCCCGGCGAGGGCCCCCAGAGGCCGAAGATAGCGAAAAACCTCCCGTCATGATTTTGTCATTGCCCGAGGGGGTCCGGGGAGGAGGAGTCGATGTGGTGGTGCTGTGCACCCATTGGGGGCGCCGCAGGAGGCCGCCCGCAGCCCGCGCGGCGAGGGCAGCGCCGAGTCCGCCGCGCCCGCGGCGAGGCGGCGGGCCACGCTGGCCGCGCAGCCGCCGCGGCGCCTGCGACCAGAGCAGCTCGACACCGAGGCCCTCGGGAGCCTCGAGACGGGGGTCAGGGCGGGATCTTGCAGGGTCCTGCCTCAGACACGGTCGCGTCGTGAACAAAATCCGGACGGGAGGCTTCTGGCCATGTTCGGCCTCGAGGGGCCCTCGCCAGGCCTCGGGGCCGTCGAAAGACGACTCAGGATGACAATCCGGTCCCGGGGAAAGGACCCCGTATGGAAAAAATCAGGACGTCGCACGTCTGGGACAGGGCCAGGGTCGCCATGACTCGGGCTTGGGTGCAGGATCCTGCAGGATCCTGCAGGATCCTTCGCGCTGACCCGGGCTTAGGTGCAGGATCCTGCAGGATTCTGCAAGAGGACGAGGAGAAGGAGGAGGAGGAGGAGGAGGAGGAGGAGGAGGAGGAGGAGGAGGAGGAGGAGGAGGAGTGACCCGGGTCAGCCGATGCCCCCCGAGGCCCTCGGCGCCTGGATGCAGTTCTTCGGCCTGAAGCCGGCCTCCAGCCGCGAGTTCATGGTCAAGAGGCTTCGGCAGCAAACCGCGGGGGCCCTGCACGGCCAGGCCGAGGTACGAGGTCGAGGTCTGTCCGGGGAGGGTACCCTCTTGTTCTTCGTGCTTGCTGGACGTTCTTGTGCATCCTGGGGAGGGTACCCTCGGGTGTTCTTCGGTTTGGCTGGCGGAGGGTCTTACACGGTTGCTCTTCTGTCCTTGGCCCGGCTGTGATTCCTCGAAACGTCGTCTTCGGAGTGCAGTCGCGTGCGCTAGCGCGTGGTGATCCATGAGAAAAGTCGCCGATCCGGCGCAGATCTTTCGTCGATTCAGCGTCGATCAGCGTCCATTCTCGCCTCCTGCTGCTCCGAATTTTTCGATGCGTGTGTCCTGGAGGTCCGGACCACTTCCCCAGGGCCGGTACTTCCTCCCGAGTCCTTCTCTGACGCTCCCGAGGCCCGGCGAGGGCCCCCAGAGGCCGCAAGTGGCCCCAAACCGCCCCGCTCCAATCCTCTTGGAGCGTCGGACTTCTGGGAAGATGGCACGGGAGGCTCCCGCGACCCAGGCCCCCGACGTTATGATGTTTTCATAGCGTCGACCGCGGGACCCACGGATCAGTTTCTCGTCCTGAGTCGTTTTTTGAGGACCCCGAGGCCCGGTGAGGACCTCCAGAAGCCGAAAATATGGAAAAACCTTCCGTCACGATTTTTCCATTGTTCGAGGGGGTTTGGGGTCGGCGTCACCCCAACATACTTTTACTTTATGTGCGTCTCCCCCCCCCAGGGGCGACGCGCGCACCGAGGAATCTGATATTATTTGCATCGTGTCGGGCGCTTTCTGGCCACACCGCTCGGGAAACGATACACTACAAGATGGGTCTACTATCTGTTCGGGTCGGACGCGCGCCTCCAGGGCGGACATCTAGTATTAGTGTGTCCCTGTGCGTCCCACGGGGAACTGCACGGGGAGCTGCCGCCGAGAGAGTCGGACCGGGCGAAAGGGGGGGATTGGGAAAGGGGGGGGTGAGAAATCTGCTGCATGCACCTGGTTTCGGCCCCGCCGCCGGGCCTATTCCTCGATACGTGGGCGCCTCTCGGGGCCGGGAGGCGCCGGGAAAATCCGCCGCGTGAGCTGATTCTCACCCCCCCCCTTTGCTATCCCCCCCTTGGGGAGGGGGAGGCG